TGATATAACGCTGTCCTTGGGAGCCAAAAAATCTTACCGCGTTATAGGTGAAACCGCGTTACATCGAACTTGCTTTGATCCACCGGAGTGCGCAGCCCCGGAGCACTGCTTTACCACGTTATATCCGAATTCGTGTTATATCAGGTCGCGTTATATCGGGGTAGAGGTGTATTTGGCAAAAGTTAAATAATGAAGTCCCTCCTTATTTCTTTTTATGGGGGTGACTCTTTTGTGTGTGTTTGGATTGAATTTCTAGAATCCAGATGTCAGGCCGTGAAGCGTATATATCAAAATCAGGTCTGTTTTTTTGATGGGTTACTTCAGACAGCTATGTTAGCACTTATGGATTTTATTCACTGTCACATAGTTAGCTTTTTTATGGGCTGTGTGGCAGTCTTGTCATGTTGAGGAATAGCAAAGGGAGCTACAGGAGCTCTAACAAAGTGAAAAGACAAATTTGAAAGCTGTTCACGCAGGGATAATTCAAAAAGTAACATCTTAGACTCAAGCAGCCAGGGGAGAGCAAGTTCTAATTGAACATAAAGTCCACTAAGAAAGGTACAACTTCATACCAAAGCCATTGAAATTAAGTTGATTAAAAAAAAATCACTATACCCCTACATTTCAAGAAGCTAAATAAACCTCAATGGAAAAGTTAAATTCTTCAAGTCCTAGTTACAGCATTCACATTAAGTGAACTTGTTGAATAATAGAAAGTTCATGCATAATTTGCTTGTGTCCTGATGTGACTGTTCAGTCTGAATTTTTTTTAATAATCCTAGTTTTATGCTGGTAGAAGTGAAGTAGAATGTGGACAAGTGATAAATATGTCCTTACTCTGTTCTCTGCACTCAGACTATCCAAGTTTTGTTTATATGCTCACCAAATATTCCTCTGTCTCTCAACTTCCACTGCCAGTTTCTTAACACTCTCCAGCAGTGCCCTGGTACTGTATTTTGGCTTCATTTAACATTCACTTTTTCCCCAACTTATCCCACCATTGCTATAACTGATCTTTCTCTCCCAGTGGCAGCCACAGTGGGTGTGTTTCCATGATGTACACTGCATGAGTCAACAGTGTGCTCTTGTTGCCAACAAGGCTAACGGCATTTTGGGCTGTATAAGTAGGGGCATTGCCAGCATGATCGTTCCCCTTTATTCAACATTGGTGAGGCCTCATCTGGAATACTGTCTCCAGTGTTCGGCCGCACAAC